CAAACAATGCGAACTCGCGAAATCAATATCAACTAAATCTTGCATCTGCTCTGAAGATTAAAAATTTTGAATAATTCAGAATTTCTGAACGCATCGTTAATCTAAAAAAATGTCAGTATGGTGAGTCAAACTTAATTGTCAAGTGTCTCCTGTAATGTCACAATGGTCACTGCTTTCGCTTTATTTTGTAGTGTCGTTGTCGGTTGTCGCATAATAACTATTCTACGTAAATTGATATTCAAGTTAATTGTTACTTTTCCCTTGCTGTGTATACCCACATAATTTTAAAACAATGTGTAACTATCTACACATATACAAAAACCATCGATAATGGTCAACATCGATGTTTTGAGTGGCCTAAACATCGAACATCGATGTTGAGCTAGCGATGCCAACATCGATGTTATTATCCCTATCTTAAAACTGAAGCCTGAGCCGTGGTAGCTCAGATGGTTAGCGCTCGCTGTAAGCTTCACAGTACTCGAGCAACCCGGGTTCGATCCCCGCCGGCACCAATGAAATTGTCAAATGCAATTTTAAGTGCTGATTTACCACGTGCTCGGCGGTGAAGGAAAAAATCGTGAGGAAACCTGCATGTTTGAGAAATAAAAAAAAATATTTCGATGACATGTGAAGTTCGCCAACACGTATTGGGGCAGCGCGGTGGACATTTCCTTGCCCTAAAACCCTCTCAGAAATGAGAGGAGGCCTGTGCCCAGCAGTGGGACGTAAATAGGCTGCAACTTTACTTTACTTAAAACTGAAAAAAAAGTTATTTGGTATTAGAGTGATTCTGGCTATAAAACAATATCACCATCACGACATTAATTGCAATTTTGTTACTTTTAGTTTTAGTCGAGTTTTGTTGAATAATTAAATATTTCAATACCTCTGTATCTATACCTTACAGGCTTACAGCTTCGTCAGGCTCATGGTCATAAATTATTACAGTGAGTATCAATACGATTCACCTGCGAAAAATCTTAACACCGCAATTCAGAAAAGGTTGTAATTTGTACAACGCCATCTATTACGTTCTTTGTGAGAAAACATCCTTTTTTAATTTAAGGAAAACATATTTTTACTGTGTTTTAAGTACTATAATAGAACGATACGAAATATATTATAATAGAACGTTTTTTTTACACACGAATCTTTTTATTACTATTTTTGGGATTTTGTGGCGCCATTAAGCAAATTCGAACCTACATTTCAAAATAATAATCATGACTTTCGATAGAATTAACCAATTTCAATTAAACAAAGATTAAATGAACTTGATAATACGCTTTATGATTTTCTTAAGGATTTCATTGAAAAAAAAAGATGTTTACTCAAAACGTCATGCGTCCATAAACAAACAGACAGACCGTCAGATAGTACAATTCTAAAAATTATAAAAATGTACTTATTTAATGATTTACAGTCCCAATAATGATTTTAGTCGCAAATTAATATACTATACAATATTCAGAAACAGACATAACATGTTATTACCATTTTTATTATATGTATAGATTTAAGAGAGATGGCGCTGTTAACATCAATTCTAAAAATAAGAGATTAATTCACACGATTGATAGAATAAAAAACATAAAAGAACTTATAAATCAGTGCCTGCATAGTAAGCAAAAAAGAAAGTTTTATCCTCGCCGAAAAATGAAATTGTTAATAGCTCTTAAAATTTGATTTACCACATAGAGTACTCGGCGGTAAAAAAATAAAAAATAAATGAGATTGTCAACACGCAGTAGGGCAGCGTGTCACTAATATAAAGGTTAGAAGCAAATATGAAACTCAACTACAGGAATAAATTTTAACCTGCCTTTTTGTATCACATTTATGCCACACCACCATCTATCGAAGAAATGGGTTAACTATTGTGCTTCAGATTTAGTTAATAAGGTTAATATATTTTTGTATAATATATTTAATACGTTCTTTAATACTTTTGTTTACTGCGTTTTAGATATACATAATTATATCATTATTTTACATAATTTAACTATGATTTATGATATGATATTAGTTTAAAATGCACTTGATGACTCAAACAAAGCCACCGTTGAGCAAATTCGTACCTATACTTCCCTACCCATACTTCAGAATATTTATCATAACTTTTGATGGAATGAACTGATTTTAATGAAATAAAGACTAAATGTAACCCGAAGATACACTTTATAATTTCCTTAACAATTCTTATGATATAAATTAGTACTTTATACGTGATACGTTAACAAACAAACAGACAGACAGACAGACAGACAGACAGACAGAAAATTCTAAAAATGGTAGAAATGTATTTAATTACTTATTTTTAGTACCCCTCAATCACTTTTATTACAAAAATATAAAATGTACAGACATCTGCTATTTACAGTTTTATTATATGTATAGATTATCCCAAATTTAATTTGAAATATGGGCAACAACGTTTTTGCCTACCGATCGACCCTTACGAATTTTTATATATAATTACATACAAAAAAAAATTGTTATAATAATGCATCATCACGCATTTTGAATTTTTAAAAGATAAAAAGGACAGAGATTTTTTTTAATAATTTTTTTAACCATTTGCCTTTATTACTACTTATTCTGAACCTTCTCTGCGAATTAGGCCGGTTATTTCAAAATAACCGTGTATGCTGACTGCCTGAGATGACTGAGTGCTAGTTTTGAAAACAGCGTACACACTAGACACGACACTAGAAGTGGTGAAGTCCGCGTGCAAAAAGGTAAAAAGTAAAGTTGCACCCTATTTACGTCCCACTGCTGGGCAAAGGCCTCCTCTCATTTCTGAGAAGGTTTTAGGGCAAGGAAATGTCCGCCGCGCTGCCCCAACGCTTGTTGGCAAACTTCACATGTCTTCAAAATATTTTTTTTTCTTATTTCTCAGACATGTAGGTTTCCTCACGATGTTTTTCTTCACCGCCGAGCACGTGGTAAATCAGCACTTAAACTTGCAATTAACAATTTCATTGGTGCCGGCGGGATCGAACTCGGGTTGCTCGAGTATTGTGAAGCTTACAGCGAGCACTAACCATCTGAGCTACCACGGCTCTACCGCGTGCAAGACGGTTCGTAATGACTTTCGAAAGCAGCATGTAGATGCAGCTTATTAGAGAAATCAGCCTTAGTTCTTCATAAGGGCGTTATCGTCGGGTATAGCTCTCCATAGCTCGCTGAGCGACCTTGAGCGTCCTCATACGGACAGCAGTGAAGGACCACGTCTCAGATCCATAAGTCATCACTGGCAACACGCACTGGTATACCTGACGAGAAGATATGTCGTAATTTCTCGAACGCTGCGCAGCCGAGTTGAATCCGCCAAAACTCTGCTAATGTGATCCAAATAAGACTACCAATAATCCTCTTAGCGCGCCTATTCCTTTGACGTCTGATGTCCAACGCTGCTAGGTGCTAACTTCAAAGCAAATGACGTCAACTATTGTACGACGGGGCTTATCACCTTGTATTTAATAAAAACTAAAAACCGGCCAAGGGCGTGCGCGGTCATGTATGAAGTAGAGTTCTGCAGCCATGTTAATAACAAAACAAATTATGCAATTTCAGCGTTAATCATCTGACATACGAAACTATAGGCCCCAGTCTTTAATAAAAGGGTAGGCTGTATTAAAAAAATCAGAAGTTGTTTTGGGGCCGATTCCGAACTTTCTTTTCTATTTCTTCATTGTTTTTAGGATAAGGGTGACAAACGAGCACACAGTCCACCTGATGATAAGTGGTTGCTGCGGCCCATGGACATCTACATCTATCTTCTATTACAGATCAAAATGCAGATGCGTTGTCACCCATGAGGACTAAGGTGGTATTTCCAGTAAAACGGGTCTCCGGTTCTCTACACTCACCATACGAAACACAGCAGCGTTAAGCTGCTATATTACGCTGTTATTCTGTGAGAGCGTAGTCCTTCCCCGGTCGAGCCGACCCATTTGTGCTACAATTATACTACTAATATAGTTGCAGCATGGCTCTACCACGTAACACTTCATTGTTTTTAATGACGGTACCCCGACACTAGGATTGTCTTCTTTACTGTGGAGCGGTTTACGCACATAAACTGCACAAAGTCACACAAAATACAAAATACTATTATAATATAAAAACAATTTGATAAGATTTAATATACATATAATTTCAATTCAATTTACAAATTTCTGAACTACAGAATTACAGACTTCGGAATTTTACGATGTACAATACCTTTCCTTTAACGACGTACCCTGTTATGGTTGGAGGAACGGTCTTTGCTCTTCAACTAATCTGAAGATTTCAGTTCCATCACATATCACTGGCATTATCGGCAATTATTTTACTGTTCAGGATACACTACTCAAGAATTCTTTATCCGAAGACATTAGAAAAGCACCGAATAATGTCTAATGCCTTAAAAAGATTGATTTACGAACATCTTTCGAAAACAATGGCGTCCATATAATATTAGCTAGTACTTGCTACATTTATTCAGATAATATATTATATTATGTATAAATGTATTTATGTGTTCATATTTAAATATGTATGTATGTGTGTTAAAATAATTGATATATACGGATTATGAATTTGTTTGCATTCACATGTATTTGTGTAATTTATAAGCCTAGTTTTAACGTGTGTTATGTGTATTTCTGTTAATTATTTAAAGCACTAGCCACAATTTTTCATCAACCATATGGGATGACTGGCAGGAAATGTTAACCAGCATTAAGTTCGCCCTTTGTAACCTTTATGTGATCAAAACAGTAAAGTTTTTATATGGATAAATATTAATAATAAGAAAATAAATATTCCTTTTTATGTGCTATTAAGTTTGAAAAATATAGCCTTGACATATAGAGAGACGCATATAAAAAACTACGAGGGTCCGCAGTTTGACCACGGATCTCTAAGAATAATATACTTCAGACAAGGTGATGTCGGTCACGAGAGGCGATCAGTCCGTCAAAAGAACATGTATTAGTAGTTAGTGCGAAATGTTTGAACGCGCGTTATTTCTTACACTTGTACTACTGTGTTGCGAAGCTCAGAATGTCGGCCTGTTATCCAGTATCGCCGACTCCACGCGCTATTGGATGAACGATATAACAAAGCTTCCGATTGTCCAGCAAATCTCAAAAGTATCGGGAGATCTACTTGTTCAAAGTGTTGACGTATTAACAAAAATACCGCTTGCCATGGCTCGATCTCTTGATCTTAATGACGTAATATTTCCACTGTTCACAAGCGACAGCAATGTCGTGGACCTGACAGATCAAATCATCAGCGAATTCAACTCCGGTCTTGACAATGAAGACATCACATTAAATATGAGCAATTTAGTGACAAAATATGGCTATCCGATAAAGAGGCATCAGGTTACAACCAAGGACGGATATATTTTATCAATGTACAGAATTCCAAACAATGGGTCCGTAGTATTCCTGATGCACGGTCTACTTGGAAGCTCGGACGATTTTGTCGTAGCAGGCCCGGAGAGTGGACTGGCTTATCTTTTATCAAACGAAGGGTACGACGTGTGGATGGGCAACAGTCGTGGCAATAAGCACTCACGCCAACATCTGGTCCTGGATCCTTCGCAATCGGCCTTCTGGGACTTCTCGTGGCATGAAATCGGATGTTACGATCTCCCAGCTATGATAGATTATGTGCTCCAAGTTACTAAGACAAACAAACTGAAATACGTAGGTCATTCGCAAGGGACCACTTCATTCTTCGTAATGGCTTCCGAAATACCAGAATACAATAGCAAAATATCTCTTATGGTTGCGTTGTCACCTGTAGCTTTCATGGCGCATGTGAAATCACCGTTAGTGAAACTTCTAGCCCCAGGCACTCCACTACTTCACAGCATGATGCAAAGCCTGGGTGTTGGCGAGGTTCTACCAGACAATAGCGCATCAAGGATTTTGAGACGGGTCCTCTGCGGTATTGGACCGTTGGCGGAAATCTTTTGCAGTAACATTATTTTCCTCTTCGTTGGGTTCGATTTTGGGCAACTGAATGTGACCAATCTACCGGTGTTGTATGGTCATATACCATCCGGCGCGTCTATTAAGCAATTCGCTCATTACGGCCAGGGTGTTGTATCGGAGGATTTTAGACAATTCGATTATAGAGATAGTAAAAATTTAGATTTATACGAGTCGAATGTGCCACCCAGTTATAACTTGGAGAACATCGTAGCACCAGTTTCTTTGTTCTATAGTGAAGCGGACTGGTTTACTGATCCGAGGGATGTAAATGCACTGTATAAAAGGCTAGGAAACGTAATAGATGTGTACAAAGTGCCTTATGAACAGTTTTCACATTTAGATTTTATAATAGCCAAAGATTTTAAGCCGTTAATTTATTCGCGGCTACGTAAATTGTTGAGGGACGTTTAAAATAATTTTATTAAATAAAAATTTAAATAAACTAATAAAATTGAAGACAACACTGGTGTATTTTTATTTAAGTCCCAAGATTGATTAAGTTCCTTTTATTTTGAGACCCTTTTTACTGGAAAAGATGCATTCTGTCTTAGTCCACACGGGTGACACACGCATCTACATTTTGATTCGCAAACGAGGATAGATGTAGATGTCTATGGGCCACAGCAAACAATTACCATCATATAATAAACAATACCAATGTGGACTGTGTGCTTGTTTGTCACCCTATCTTTAAAAAAAGGTTCCAGCCGCATCTTGTAGCGGCGGCGTAGGAGAATACCAGCGTGAAGTAGAGGTTACCTCTGCGTTTCGTTTGGTGAATGCAGGTGGCCTGAGGCCCTTTTCACTGGGAATGAGGCATTCCATCTTAGTCCTCACGGGTGACAACGCATCTACATTTTGATTTGTAATAGAGGATAGATGTAGATGTCTATGAGCCACAGCAACCACTTACCATCAGGTGGACTGTGTGCTCATTTGTCACCCTATCTTTAAAAAAAGGTTCCATCCGCATCTTGTAGCGGCGGCGTAGGAGAATCCACTACGAACTAAGAGCGGACGGAGGGAAACAGAAACAAGGGAAGGGCAGTAGCATCTTCCTGACAACAACCCAAAATAAATACAGGCAAAAAACCCAAAAACTAATCCCAAATTGTAGTAGTGTTTTATTCGCAATTGCATTTTGTTTTTTTAAACTACAAAAAAAAAAGCAATTTTAAAAAAAAAGAGGCTGTAAACTCTTTTGCCTATCTACGGGGAAAAGTGGACATTTGATAGGCTAAAATGAATCAAGAATTTGGGCCGTATAAATTTTATTATTTTATTCAAATTGTAAATTTTAATGTTATGTAAATAAATAATGATTCGATTACGGCCAGCATTAGTATAGTTAAGTGCAATTTTAAGTGCTAATTTACAACGTGCCCGATACTAACTGGAAGTTGCCGAGCGACGTAGCCTGCCTTCAGAAGAGCATATTACACTCATAATTCTATAGTGTTTTTAATGAATCCTAGAGTGATATTGAACCATTCCATTTAGCGAGTAAAAGAATTTATCACCCCATTTTGTCTCATGGGTGGATATCTAAAAATGGCGAGTGTAGGAAATACCATACAGTTTTCATGCTGTGGAATACCTAACCTCGAAGAAATGTATTTCGATCCTTTTCTCATCATACCTTTTTTTTATTGGCAACACAAATTTTTTAAGATGATAGTATTTGAACTTTTGATATTATTGGCGAGTTTTATATAAACTTTATTTAATTTTTTTAAACCGAATAGTGCCATAAAAATACTGTTAATCGTTTTAAATTTTCGCGTGAAAACTCACTGTCACTGTTCTAGTAAATAAAACGATTTTGCAAAGAAAAAAGTAACTTTTGGATGTTTAATAATAATTTATTATCTTTATCATTCTTGTGTGTTGTGCCTGAATGCAAAAATACGAGCATAAAAACGCGGGGAAGTTATGGAGTCAAGTGCCAACTGATAATAATATGAGAAATACTTGGTTAAAACTGGCAAGACCCAAACATATTTATTGTCTACAAAACCTAGGCTATACTTCTGTGAAGATCACTTTGATATAAGAATGACTTATATTTAACTATTGTTTAATACAAAACATCATTAAGTGGTAGGTATAGCAAGTCAAATGTATAATAGGTTAGGTTATCTTAGATATAACTAATGATTGCTAATGATTGTAATCATAGATAAACATAACTATGTATTAACAAAAAACACTGGTGTTGTGTTATTGTATAAACGAAAGTTGGTAATAGATAGTCAAGTTTACGGGAACGTAAAATGGTTTTTTAAAAACTATTAAAAATCTATTTATTTCTTATTACATACAATAATTATAATTCTAATAACTTAATTAATACGTCTTGGCAGAAGTCGATGTCAAAACGAAGTGTCCGCTCCCATGAGCTCTGCCTGATATCTCGTGCAACCATAAGCGCTGACTCTACAATTACTGGATATTGCCTTATGCTTGTGCAGCCCCCTCTACAACCCTATGATCTTGTGGTTACATAACTCCTCCCTCTCTGAGAGCGAAATTATCGGCTTCAGTGTTTTCAGCTATTGTCCGAAGATTCCGCCATCTGTTAACTAAATTACTTTTACATTTTCTTAAAACACTAAAGATAATTACAATAGGTAAATTGAATCAAACAACTTTTATGGATTCTATCGCGTTTAAATAACCAATTTTTTATTGATTCCCGACGTTTCGGATACCTATATTGGAACGGTGAATCCCACCATCATCCTTCACAGTTAGCTACCATGGTCAAATTTTTGTGATAGAGAGCACGAGGGATCTGTGACAGCAAACACCTAGCCGCCGAGCTTCAGCACGTCAAGCAGGTTCTGCATGACAACAAGCTTCGGGTCTCGCGCCTACTTCACAGTGACTGAGTGAAGCCAGCCACAGTCGAGCGTGTGCCTGCTGTACTACCATATGTCAGAGGTGTCACAGACAAGATTGGCTACATCTTGAAACGAGCTTCTATTAGAAAATTCTTCAAGTCGCCGAAGAAGATTAGCCAGTTCTTACCATCCATCAAATGCAATATTCCTCTACAAGATGCAGGAGTGTACAAGCTCGATTACGAATGTGGTTTCTCATATATATGGCAAACAAAGCGATCTATCAAAACCCGCGTAAAAGAACACAAAACTGACGTGAAACACCAACGCTCCGGGAATTTTGCAGCTTGTGATCATATCCTAGACAGCCCCCGCCATTACATTAGATTTGATAAACCACACATTTTCGCGAAAGAACATCGATTCCTGCCAAGGATGATACGTGAGGCTATTGAAATTAAAAAACATCCTAATTTCAATAGAGAGGGAGGCTGGGTACTACCGCTTAAACATATTGATTATTATTATTAATTATACTACTAATATAGCTGCAGCATGGTTCTACCACGTAGAAAATGCATGCAAACTCGAAGACTTCCAGCCTCCCAAACAAGCTGGTTTCCGAAAACGATTTGGCAGCATAAATCACATACATACCCTTCGGCAAATTGTACAGAAGTCCAAGGAATACGATTTGCCACTATGTCTGGCGTATGTGAACTATGAGAAAGCCTTTGATTCCGTCGATATTTGGGCGGTGTTGCAGTCCCTTCAGCGGTGCCAAGTTGACTGTCGGTACATCAAAGTAATGAAGTGTTTGTACAGTAGGGCTACGGTGGCTATCCTAGTACAGAACCAGAGTACGAAACCTATCCACCTGCAGAGAGGTGTAAGACAGGGTGAAGTTATATCCCCGAAACTCTTCACCGCTGCATTGGAAGACGTTTTCAGGCTTCTGGACTGGAAAGGATACGGTATTAACATCAACGGCGAGTACATCACTCACCTTCGATTTGCCGACGATATAGTCCTTATGGCAGAATCGCTGGAGAACCTATGCACTATGCTCAATGATCTCAATAGTCCCTCCCAACGGATAGTTTTTAAGATGAACATGGACAAAACAAAGATTTTGTATAACGTCCATGTCGCACCTGTGCCGGGAATGGTGTTGGGAGAGTCGAAGTTGTTTACGATTATGTTTACCTGGGGCAAATAGTGCGACCAGGTTAGTCCAACTTCGACCGAGAAGTCAATCGACGGATTCAACTCGGCTGGGCAGCGTTCGGGAAATTACGGCACATCTGCTCGTCAGGTATACCTCAAAGCTGGAAAATGAGACTGTACAACCAGTGCGTGTTGCCAGTGATGACCTATGGAATTGAGACGTGGTCCTTCACTGCTGGCCGGATGAGTAAGCTCAAGATCGCTCAGCTAGATATGGACTATGCTTAGAAATGAGGATATCCGTAGTAGAACTAGAGTGACCGACATAGCTCAACGGATTAGTAAGCTGAGGTGGCAATGGGCCGGCCATATAGCTCGAAAAACTGACAACCGATGGGGAAAAAAGGTTCTCAAGTGGCGGCCTCGTACCGGCACACGAAGTGTAGGCCGTCCCCCCACTAGATGGAGTGACGACCAGGTAAGACATGCAGGAAGTCAATGGGTGCAGGTGGCTCAGAACCGTGATTTGTGGCATTACTTGGGGTAGGCCTATGTTCAGCAGTGGACTTGTGAAGGGCTATAATGATGACGATGACGATGATCCTACTTCCTACTATTGTACTAATATTATAAACGTGAAAGTTTTTGAGGATGTATGGATGTATGGATGTTAGTTACTCTTCCCCGCAAAAACTGGTGAATGTATTTTAATGAAACTTTACAATAATATAGCTATTAGCTAGCATACATCAGAACAACAGATAGGCTATATCTAATAAAGATATTGTGTAAATTGACAAATACATAGAAGGCACGCGCGTACGCACGCACGTACGTACACACGTACACACGCACGCACACACACACGCCCGCACACAGGCACGCATGCACGCACGCACGCACTCAGGCTAGCAGGCACGCATGCAAGCACGCAGGCAGGTAGGTAGGTCAGCACGCACGCACGCACGCACGTATTCACGCACGCATGCACGCAGACGGACAGGCACGCACGCACGCCTGCATGCACGCACGCACGCGCGCAAACAGGCAGGCACACAAGCACGCACGCATGCACGCAGACGGACAGGCACGCACGCACGCCTGCATGCACGCACGCACGCACGCAGGCAGGCAGGTACGCACGCACGCACGCATGCACTCACGCACTTACGCAAGCAGGAAAGCACGCACGCACGCACGCATGCATGTACGTTCGCACGAACGCACGCACGCATGTACGAACGCAATAACGCACGCACGCAGGCACGTTCAACGATAGCACGCACGCACGCATGCTCGCACGCACGCAGGCAGGCACGCACGCACTCACACACGCACGCACACAGGCAGGCAGGCACGCAAACACGCACGCATGCACGCACGCACGCACGCATGCACTCA